AAGAGAATTAACGAGTAAATAAGTAAGCCCCACCCCCTCACGATAATACCGTGTATCACCAATCGCACAGGCTGACGATATGAAAATGGAGCATATCGCCCAATACTAGTGTTTACCTCCATGGTTTACCTCAGCAGCTGATGGACGGAAGTAGTTATACCCGTTTTGTAGAACCCGGTAGAATGCTGCTCATAACCCCTATATGTGAATAGATTATTTTGTTCATCAAAGTAAAAACGCGGCTCATCAACACGAACCCGTCCTACAGTGCGCCGCTGTGTGCATCGATCCATCGGTCCGTGTTGTGCATGTCACATAAAATCAGTCATAATCAATAAATGTTATTTCTAAGTTGCATATAAAATAATTCATTTTTCATTAAATACGACACTTAATCATGAATAATTTTTTTTTACTATTATTAAGTGAGGCAAAATAAGTTACAATGCAGGATAAACTGAAATTCATAGCATTAAACAACTATTGGATCATCGAGGCTAAACGTCATATTATGCGACTACGCAAACGGAGAGCTTACGACCTACTAGCTACGTTCTGCCTTACGAACAAATGGTGCAACGAAATATAGTCAGAGAATGTCTAATAGAAGAGAATTGGCACTGGCTGGTTACTTCCGGTTTCTGGACTGGCTGCAGTAATGCGTCTCTGTCCATGCGGGGGCGCTCGCGGTCGAGTGCAGAATGAATGGGAGTCAATGGGGTTTCACCCCCAGAAATCCACTTTTCTCAGGATGTAATTTTTTGTCAAGTAATTTGAAAGTTGCATTCAAAAGGGAGGGCTAAGATAATACACTCAGCTGAAAATTAGATTTTTAAGTTCACTTATCTGTTCTAAAAATCATTGAAAAAATCTGATGATGTCACATAATAGCAGAATGCTATTGTATAAGTACTCGTTCATTCGACTTTTGGCCTATAATCTATATTGAACTTGCGGAATAAACAAAAAAATCTATGTTGATTCAAAGAAAAGCAGGAGAAAGAGATACATTTAGCCAGAGATGTATAGTAACGAAGTAGAACTACTTCCCTATTGTACTTAAGTACTAAAATGCTCTATCTGTACTCTACTAGAGTATTGTTTTTTTCCTCATACTTCCACTTTTACTTCAGTACATATTTTCGGTGAGTTTAATACTTTTACTTCCATAATTTTTTAATGTTCTGCTAGTTACTCGTTACAATTATAAAAATGTTACGGTAACACTTTACAATAAGGTTCATTAGTTAACATTAGTAAATGCATTAACTAACATGAACTAACGATGAGCAATGCATTAGTTAGAGTGTTTATTAATCTTTGTTAATGTTAGTTAATAATAATCCAGCTGTTCATTGTGCGTTCATGTTAGTTCACAGTCCATTAACTAATGTTAACTAATACAACCTTTGATTTTAATAACGTATTAGTAAATGTTGGAATTGATATTAACTAAGATTAATTAATGCTGAAGAAGTATTGTTCACAGAATTACTTCCCTTCTCGCAGAATTCCTACACTGGTTCTCATATACTAATATATGGTACTGATATGGGGTATGACTGTGTTCCCCTCCATCAGGTACACTTGAAGTCAGACCTTGTGACTGGAAAAGGTAACCTTGCGGTGTGTTCCCAATTACCATTTGGATGAGCAGGTCTCATACTGGGGAATGATCTAGTGGGTAACCACGTTTCCCCAGACTTGTGGTGAAGGACGGAAATTTTGCTCATCACTGCTCATCACCATTGTTGGAGTGTGTAGTAGCGCAACTGCCAGTGACAGTCAGAAACGTTGACCTTCTTGACTCAATGTGGCAAGCCCCCTCTGAACCTCCTAGAGGTCAGCAGAGGATTAAAGGGTTAGTTCACCCAAAAATGAAAATTAAGTCATTAATTACTCACTGCCATGCTGTACCAACCCCGTCAGACCTTCGTTCGTCTTCGGAACACAAATAAAGATATTTTTGGATTGAATCTGAGAGCTGGATCATTGGCTTCCTAAGGGACTGGCTCTTGACGGCCCATAAAGTCATTAAAGAAAATGTTTAAATATTCCATGTGCCTACAGCGGCTCAATTATAAGTTTATCAAGCGACGAGAATACTTTTTGTGCGAAAAAAACATAAATAACGGCTTTATTCGACGATTCCCTTACTTCCTTATTGGCGCATGCGCGAGAACTGAGACGAGGACGTTCTCCTTCGACCACTTCTTGTTACCGGCTGCTCACCGCTTAAGAGTTTTACCGCCCCCTACCGTATAAGATGATAATAAGGCACACTGTCGTTTTTTGAGAAGATTAAAGGCTTTTAAGTGCACCTTGTAGTGCGGAAAATACGCTAATTGAAAAGCGTATGTACAGTGCGCATCTTCCTTTGCTTGTAAACAGAAAGTTTTGCACTTCCAGCTATATCAGCACATCATCTTATACGGTAGGGGGCGGTAAAACTCCTAAGCGGTGAGCAGCCGGTAACAAGAAGTAGACGAATGAGATCGTCCTCGTCTCAGTTCTCGCGCATGCGCCAATAAGGAAGTAATGGAATAGTCAAATAAAGCCGTTATTTATGGGTTTTTTTCGCACAAAAAGTATTCTCGTCGCTTGATAAACTTATAATTGAGCCGCTGTAGGCACATGGAATATTTAAACATTTTCTTTAATGACTTTATGGGCCGTCAAGAGCCAGTCCCTTAGGAAGCCAATGGAAGAGTGATACAGCTCTCAGATTAAATCAAAAATATCTTTATTTGTGTTCTGAAGATGAACGAAGGTCTTACGGGGTTGGTACAGCATGGGGGTGAGAAATTAATGACTTCATTTTCATTTTTGGGTGAACTAACCTTTTAAGGATCTTTATGTGAATAAGACTATACATTGGTAAAGATGTTACGTGGGGTGTAGAGAACAGACCATTCCCTTGCACTGTGTTCTGATGTGATGTTAAATTGATCTGATGGCGGAACTACTTGTTTCTGTGAGAAGTCGTCCAATTTGAAAGTGTAAACCCATTTTGATTTGTCAAATTGTTGCGACATCTATAAGTTGTCCTACCTCTACTGTGCACTGTTCTCCAATGAAGGGAACTTGTTTTGTTTTTCCTTTAATTTTTGTGAAATGCCAAGGAAAAAAAAAACACCTGGAGCCACAAACGTTCACTTCACTGAGGCTGGGTGCTAACATTAAAACACAGAGCAAAGAACTAAGAAAAACTAAGGGTTTAAGTACAAGGGAAATGAGGCACAGGTCCAAATAATAACTGGATCAGACAAAAGTCATCATGGGGGCCTCTAGTGGCCAACACCGGAAAAAATCCCAGCCTAATGCTGATAGAACCATGAAATAATGTTAATTTGAATTTATTACTATTTGTCCTCTTAAAGGAGTAGTTCACTTTTAAAAAAAAATGCTGATAATTTACTCTCCCCCATGTCATCCATAATGTCCATGTCTTTCTTTCTTCAGTCGAAAAGAAATTAAGGTTTTTGATGAAAACATTCCAGGATTTTCTCCATATAATGGACTTCAATGGGGTCCAAACGGTTCAAGGTCCAAAAGACAGTTTCAGTGCAAACTGTTCAAAGGGCTTTAAACGATTCCAGACGATGAATAAGGGTTGTATCTAGTGAAACAATCGTTCATTTAATAAATAAATTAAAAAGTTTACGTTTTATAAGCTTAAATGCTCGCCTTGCTCTGTTCAAACTCGTTCATCAAAATGAACAAATATTTTTTCGAGTTATTTCATTCGTTGAATGAACAAAATGACTCGAAAAAAGCAAGGCAAGCATTTGAGCTTATAAAATTTAACGTTTTTCTATTTATTTCTTAAATGAGCAATCATTTCGCTTAATAAGACCCTTATTCATCGTCTGGAATCGTTTAAAGCCCTTTGATCAGTTTGCACTGAAACTGTCTTTTGGACCTTGAACCGTTTGGACCCCATTGAAGTCCATTATATGGAGAAAATCCTGGAATGTTTTCATCAAAAACCTTAATTTCTTTTCGACCGAAGAAAGAAAGACATGGACATCTTGGATGACATGGGGGTGAGTAAATTATCAGCAAAAGTTTTTTTAAAGTGAACTACTCCTTTAACAGTTTCACAAGAATATATTTATATCAGGCATACCACTGGCATACTAATAGGGTCCTAAGCTGGGACCCATCTCTTCAGTGGGACTCATCTCTTCACCACACCTGTTCAAGTCGAACAAGCCTAAAGAGTACTTGACGCATGAAATAACCGAACCAATGAAAACAAGGCACATGAACAGGGGAAGCACATGACAGGATTATATCAAGGCAACAGGGAATCACATGACATGACTAAATTTCAAATAAAAATAACATGAACAAAACTTAAAACAGACATGACAATCAAAAGTCAAAGTCTGTGTTAGCATAGAGCAACAATTATATTGATAGAAAACAGAGCAAGCATGTGTCTTGTTTAAACAACTACTAAAAACACTGTTTGGCCTGTAGGGAAAGTGTCTGTCCTGTTCTCATCACTTCACCTACTGGGCATCAATCAGTGGATCTTGGAAACGGTAATTGGTTACTGTCGAGATGAATGTTGTAGCTTGGTTTAAAAAAAAATTCAAGTGAGGTGTTGATGTCTGAAATGTAAAGTATGTTTTTTATAATGCAATGACCTCGATATGTCAAACGGTCAAAAATAATGTTGAGTAAACGTTCAGGTCCTAGCTAAAGTGGCCACGGTTACAAAAGGATAAAACAGGATTCTAAAGTTATAATCTTTCTGTAATCAAGTATATGGCTAAGTTTCCATGAAAAATAATTTGTACTGAGCTATGTGTTTTATATTCTGTTTTTTGAAGCCTGTATGGATTAAAATTTAAAATGGAATTACAGTGTCGTAGAGAAATGTCAAAGATCACAAATAAATATTTTTATATTCTATAGTGTTGAGTAGAATTATACCAATAAAATGCCACTTCTGTAATATACAATAGAGAGAGCTGTATTTCTCTACTCACCATAGACAGTAACATTGAATCTGTGTGTAGACGATGGGCCGCTGCTGCTGATCTTAACTTCATAAACTCCAGTATGATTATTTCTGATGTTCATGATGGTCAGAGATCCAGTCTTATTGTCCAGCTTCAGTCTGTCTCTGAATATCCCATCAAGAACATCATAGATCGTATTGTTCACTCCATCAGTTCTAGCAATAAGATTCTTGTTAGGTCCAAATTTCCACGTTATATCTTTACCGTTCTGTATTTCAGTGAGACCAGAGTTTAGAGAGACTGAATCTCCCTCCATCACTGACACTGACTTCAGTTCATCTGTACCAGCAAACACTCCTGAAGAACACACAGAAACAGTCTCTCACACACACATTAAACATTACATGGTTTTAATGAAGCTTTAACTGTTAGTTTTGAAATGATTGCAAAGTTTGAGAAAGTAGAAAGATAAAAACAGCATCATGGGAAATAAATGGCAGGGTGGAAAACAGATATCTGCATTTACACACCTTCACATAGTTTACATTTTACATTTTGGTTTAGTGTTATAAGTTTCACAAGTAAATAATACAGTAGGAAACTTCTCATAGTCACATCTACTGTATATCTCAGTAATATCTGGGAATACACACAAGAGCTTCTTAAATGATTTACTGTTGATCTGAAGTAACTTCCACCAGAACACCAAAAAAAGTTTATAACTCACCATACAGACGGCAAAAGCACAGCCAGAAAAAAACTGATGTTTTTCCTTTAAACATTTTCTTCCAACAGCTCTGGGGTTTGAATATGTGTTTAGAAAGATTATCTGAGAGCGATGTAGACTCTACAAGTCGTGTAGGAAAACCCTTTAGTTTCTTCTACTTCTGTCTCTGTGCCTCAGCTGAGTGAGCATGCGTCTAGCGCAACACTGATGTGTTTTTTTTTGTGGTTTTTTTCACATTTTCATTGGGCTGTGTGTCATACTAATGATGATGTATTGATTCAGACCAAGAAAATCTTGGACTTGGAAAAATACCTGGATGGTATATGTCTTCAAGAGAACATGATTATTGAGTGTTTACATTTCTTCCCAAATATAAAATTAATCTGTTGCTCTTCTAAACATGTGGGTGAAACTGGAAGCTATGATTTTTCTTTAGAAGTGGTACAAAATTAGACATGGCAAAACTAGCGTGATGTGGCAAGAGACTGGTGATCTCTTAGCCTTCATTCACGCATGTTGAAGACGTCCACTTGAATTCAGGGTGTTTCATTTGTCTTACGATCCTTTGACTGTGTACCTTTTCTGCCAAAAAGGCAGAATGTTTACTTCTCACGGTTGTTGGTTTTCACCCTGCCTGTTTTAATTGTTTGCTCCTGTGACATTACTATATTGAGACTGAACTGTTTTCAGGATTCAGATTTTTGTGGACTGTTTATGTAATTAACCTTAAAGGGCATATTGCAGGTTAGAGGACCCAACGAGTCAATGCATAGAAAAACAATGTAGGAACTAGATTTTCTTTAAAATATACGTATAAACACGCTACAGAAGCTTCTGCAGTCGTTTTTGTGAGAGAATTTTACTTCCGCGTCTGAAAATGGGCGTGGCGGGCGTGACGCAATGAGCGGGAGAGCCGTCTATTCACACAACAGGAAAACAATGAATCGCATGACATTTCGGACGCTGAGGAAATTCTCGTATGACGGATCAAGCCATAAAGTTATGAGCCTGCTATGCTAAAGAGATCAGGGACAGGCCAGGATAATGTCAGACAGAATGGTCAGAGAAAAATTGAGCTGTGATGTGAGGAGAACCAGTGGAGAACAGGACAGGTGCCTTTTAGGTGGAAGACGTGCTTATAGTAGGCTATACACGTTCGCTAACGATATACACTGTGCTCACAATACTGTACAGATTATTATGATCCTATAACAGGCCAGCAGACATTAGTATGTTTAGGGTAGATTTATATACTATTAAATGTATAAAAACTTTACTTGAGTATATTTCTATACTAAAAGCATAGGCTACTCAGGTAAATTTTTAATACATATTTTTCACCTAGGTTATAACATAAACAGAACATTAAAGATTTGAGTATTTAAACAACCAATTTTGTTTTTCAATTATAAGTTCTATTTAGGGCATGACATGACTAAGTTATATACCACTATTTGATGCCATTGGTAGTATACGACGATCAATATTCTTGCTTCGGCATACCATGATGTTGAACTCCATCATATCGCCGGGATGCTATAGTCATTTGATCTGAAGTGAACGCTACACACGACCACGTTTTCCGAGCCAATGCAGAAAAGAAATCCCGTCTCTTCACCTGCTCAAACCGCACCAGGAACGAAAGATAGGCTATATAGCACCGTCACTTTTATTGTAATGGAAACTTGTGGACTCGATCTTGAAGTCCTGACAGGCTGGAGTTTTTGCAATCTCCACAAACACAATAATTTACCATGACGATGATAATTAAAATTCAAAAACTAACGAAAGCACACCGACTGACGAGCGCTCTCACTGAACACCAGCCTACTCTGCACTGAGCCGAGGCTGAGGCTCCCTGATATGACGTCAAATGACGCGATGTTGAAAAAAAAGCCGTTTTTACTAGCAGTCCAAGAAACGCTCACTTTATCTTCTAAATTAGTGCCCTTATGTTGTTTTAAAAAATTTTAAATCCTGCATTAACTTTTCATATGGTATTTTCATACAAGGTTATCTATAAATTTCAATTTTTTTTTTACCTGCAATATGCTCTTTAATATATTCTTTGTCAGTTCGAGTCTATACTTACACAAGTCTTACACAATCTTACACAAAACACTGATGTGATCCCACTGTCATTCAGTGTCATTTATTACTCATTTAAATGACAAATAGGCCTATGTGTAACAGAGTGTAAATGATCCATCCATAATCTGGGTTGGGATTTCAGCATAATACTTGGTAAACATTAAATTACATATTCCACATAGTTGCTTAATTATGTCACTAAAATTGTGTTTTATTCACTAAGTTCGAGAGGAGCACGCACAGAGAATTAACACGAGAGGAGAGCACTCAGCAATCAACGAAGAGAGATATATATACCCAGTAGTCTCACCTCATTGCATTGGCAGTTTTGCAGCATCCCTCCACCGCCCCCTTCTTTCTTGTCATAAGCACTTACATACCGGGGGGTTACCAGTTTGATTACTGAAATGTTCTTTTTATGTATTCTCTAATGTCTGTATTTGTATTTAGCCCGGCTTTCAGAGATGAAATAGGGACTTGTTTTGTGTTTGAGAAAGGTCTTCAATCTGTTAAAACATAAAGGGGTCAATGAAGCCAATAGTTTCAGGGACCATCTCTTTGTTAAAGCCTTACTTTCCAGTTAGACTAAAGTTTAGCTATCCTTGAGAGAAAGAAGGCATTATCTTGATGTTTTGAGAGGACTCTCCTGTTTATAGTTAAAACCTGGCCAAATCCAACCTTGGAAAAGCAGTGTGTCGGTGTGTGTGTGTTAGTCTTCTTGGTTACAGGTTAAGGGATCACTGGCATTATTGGAGTTGTTGTTCTGGACAGGCCCAACAACCCAAATCTGTGACCTGTAATGTGTCTAAACAAACCTGGAATGACCTGGAAGGTCATGAGGTGCCTAACTTCAGGGTCCGAGTGTCAGCTGCATAATCGATGGAGATATGCTTCAGTCTATCTGTATTCTTAGCCAATCTATTGTTTATCTATTTCTTAGCCAATCAGAATCATTCAACCTGTAAGCAATGACATAGCTTAGACCTTGGTGTGGTATAACTGCTGTGATTGTTGTAACTGTGAGCAGGACTGTCACAATACACACACAGGAAACGATAGATCCAAGAGCAGTATTTAATTGGGGCAATCCAAAAACGTAGTCAGGCAAATGGACAAAAATCCAGAAAGGCAGTCCTAAACATGAAACTAAACAAGAAGCAGACAAGCGAAGTGTGGTGACAATAAACAATGAATCCACAATGAACAAAGAAACAGACAGGGTATAAATAGCCAGGTGCAAATGATGTGAGTGGGGGGACAGCTGAGAGCAATGATCAGTAAGTGACAGAACAGGATGATGGGAAATGCAGTTCCAAACAAGGTGGTGACGGTAAGGGGAAGAGACCTCTAGTGGTGACCCAGGGAAACACAACCTAGACATTGTGACGGGCAACCTACGAACTCCTATAAGGCCTGCTAACTCAATCCAGTGGTGGTACTCTATAAGAAGTGAAGGTCTCACGTGTGTTCATTCAAACACCTGGTCCTTGGGTTCTTACTGTAAATCCCCTTACATGTTTTTTTTGCTCAGAACTGTGCCCTCTCATGGTGACTATGTGCCCAAACAAAAGGAGTGAATGGATTTAAAAATTCTATAAAATAGTACAGTATGTAATAAGCTACAGCGTCCAAGCATCTGTCAAATCCAATAAATATATTCAGCTATATATACTCTAGAGTTATGAATATTTCTGCGCTGCGAGTCTTCGCTGGCTCTCGGCAGTGCGGTAAATTTATGCAAATGAGCAGCAACAAGATATGATGACTACAAGTGAAGTCCAAAAAGAGATCTTAGAAATTTACATTTTACATTTATGCATTTGGCAGATGCTTTTATCCAAAGCAACTTACACTGCATTCAAGGAACACATTTACATTCTTTATCCGTTCTTGAAACAAGTTAGAAACAGCGTCAATGAATGATCCTTAAAGGGATAGTTCACTTTGAAATTAATTTTTGATATGTTTTATCTTACCTCAAGGGCATCCAAGATGTAGGTGTCTTTGTTTCCACAGTATTTTCAATTTTGACATTTTTCGGTCAAACCGTTCTTGTCTGTCAGTCATATAATGCAGGTTTAGCGGGTCCACCTCAAAGAGCATGCACAGAGAAGTCCAAATTAAACATGATTTAATGACTCGTAAATGTAAGTACACATTGATGGCCTAAGACACGAAACGAGCGGTTTGTGTGAGAAAACCAACAGTATTTATATCGTTTTTACCTCTTGTAACCACAGCCACGTCCAAGTGATCTGAATCAGATGTCCAACTGAACTGAACTGTGTCCAACGTTCCGCCGGAAGTGATCTCTCGCACGTCGACATCACTCATTGTTTACACAGAGATTTCGGAAGTTTTACCTTTCACTAAACATATTTAGATATATCGAAATATTAGGGATGGGGCCGATCCGATCCAGTATCGGTATCGGGACCGATACCAGCATAATTCACGTATCGGATTTTTCCGATCCAACCTGCGGAGAAATCCGATATTTATGATCCATGTCTGCGCTTTAACGTTGTCTGCTGAAATGACTCCAAAAGTGATTCCCGCCGGGCCTGCTAGTCTGCTATAGCTGGCTGCAAACTGTGGAATGGATACCCTGAACGGAGGTGCAGCTCAATCAGTGACTGTAAAACATAGGGCTCAATGAGACACACAGACGCCCGCTCAAGAAATCCATTCCGCAGTTTGCAGCCAGCTAGCAGGATAGCACTGAGCTATAACATGTTCGCTGTGTGGAAATCATATGGTGGAACTGGAAACACCGCTGCAGTGCAGAGCAAGACAGCAAAGTGCAATGTTTGCAAAGCCGTATTAATTAAACTATTTGATGCATGTTTGCAATTCGCAGTCCAGAAGAGAAAGAGAGAGATCTCTCACGCGGTGCAACAGCAAGCACAACATGACAGCCCGGCGTAATGAGTGACGACAGAGTAAACGTAGCCTGGTTACACTTTAGATCTGTGATATTAGTCTGATTTCCAAATATTAAAGAATATATTGAGGTAAAAAAAAACATTAAAAACAATAGCCGCATTCTGTCTAGCCAACTTCCTTCCCATCGCGGCGGTGCGCTGTCATTTCTCCCTAAAACTCAAACTTTAAGACAGAATCAGCACGATCGATGATTGTAGTAAAATGCAGTCTCTGCTGTTACTAAATTGCGGGACGCTTTTAATAATAAAAAGAGCTATTAAAAGCACAAAATTTGCGCAAGAGATGCTGTTCCCAGTGCGGCGCGCTCCGAAACAGACCGCAACAAGACAAGCAAATTATACTCTGGGCTTCATATGCGCGTCTAAACGATCAAATGTAGCCTGCACAAAAATGTCAAACCGACCGACTTGGAGATTAACACTTAAACCACCGTTTATGTCTAAAATGAACGTAGTTATGGAAATATTTGGGAGAAAATATGGTGCATCAGTAGACTATGAAATCTGAACTCGTTCTTAAAGGGGCAGCAGTATAAATGTGACGATTGCGACATTACTGAGAATCAAACAACCAAAGGCAAAGAGAAAATCACTCACAGCTCTTGAATGAATTACTTCAGCTTTAATAAGCATAAATCTATCTATGATAAACTTTGCAGTGCTATTTTACTTTTGATTACTTTATTATAATTCTTTTTAAGACCATACCTGAATAGCCTAATGTTTGTAGACCTTCCTGAAATTAAAGCACTGTGTAGGCCTGTATAATGTGTATCTTTGTTTAATTGTCTATCTATTGTTTAATATATATATATATATATATATATTGACATACATACGTACATATCATCCTTGCCTGTAGAGGAGTTTATTTCAGCATCATATAAAATCAACAATAATGATAAATACTATTAAAGCAAACACAGCTCTGGTATCGGAAAAGTATCGGTATCGGCCGATATCCAAAGTCAGGTATCGGGATCGGATCGGAAGTGAAAAAATGTGGATCGGTGCATCCCTACGAAATATGTTTAGATCTTCACAGTGAAAGGTAAAACTTCCGAAATCTCTGTGTAAACAATGAGTGGTTGTACCTCCAGGTTGTAAAACCTTATAAATGTGGATGGAGAGGCCCAGCCTGCCGCCATACAAATATCCTGGAGGGAAATCCAACTGGTCCAGGCCTATGAAGAGGCCATGCCTCTGGTGGAATGGGCTCTAATACCTAAAGGTCACCGAAGGCCTTGGCTCTGTTTCGAGGTGGCTAGGCCTTTAGTCAAACAGTGTTTGTAACCGGTTTTATTGATGTGGGCCGTTAATGAGTGCGTGTCACTGAACGGGCCGTGCTTATATGTTGGGGTGAACACTGGGAAGTGGGCACAGTTCCTACATTTATAACACATTCGGTGGGAGCCGGACAAACAGACATAATGCTTATTTTGAGATTTATCTGGGTGGCCGTGAAAACGGCCTTGGGTACAGGCAAGCAGGTCGTGTAACAGGCTTGTTGGCTGTAAAATGCACTTCTCCAGCCGCCTCTGTTGAGGGAACTGAGAAAGTGAAGCGGGCTGTCTTTGATGGCGGTCCGGCCGTGGCGAGACTCAACCATCTTTGTCTTCTCTGGGTGGTCAGGAAGACTTTGAGGCTCGGGCTTCAGCACCATCTTGGGCCTGGGATGGAGGTGGCGGGGACACTGTGTTCTGGTTAGGCCGCTACTTTTTCGAGCAACCTGTCGCGGAACTGGAGCACCTGGGAATGAAATGTTGCATGGCTTGTGATGTTTTCTGCACTTCTGAGAAGCGCTTAGTTAAGCCTTTAACTGCCGGGCCAAAGAGACTGGATGGAGACACAGGCTCGTCGAGGAAAGTGGCTCTGTTGAACTCCTTCATGTCGCACAAGGTTAACCACAAGTGTCTCTCTAGATGACAGTGAGAGATGCCATGTTTCTCCCGATAGCCTGTGGATCGGACTTGGTGGCTCGCAGAGCTAAGTCCGTGATGCTTCTGAGGTCCTTGAAATTCTCAGGATTCAGGCCGGCCTCGTCCATAGTGCGTAAAAAGTTGGCCTGATAAATTTGCAGCCTGGCAGAAAATGGCACCTTCCAGCTCATAGATAGCTCCTCATGTAGTTCTGGCAGGAAGGGAGCGGGCCTCGTGTGAGGCGCCGAGCGTCGTCCGGGCAAGAAACAGCCGGCAAGTCTGCTGGGCGCGAGTTCCTCAGGCAGCGACCTCCACGGCCTTAGTGATGAGGCGGAGAATTTCGGCGTCGAAGCTAGCCCGCACACCGCTCGACTCTTGCAGGGAAGGGGCAGGGTCCGGAACGGGGCCTGACCATCCTTCGCTCTCTGAGGAGGCAAAAGAACTTCCACGTTGTCCCCGTCGAACTCGAGACGCATGGTGTGAGTGGTAGGGCGCTGGCCAGCCGTGATCAATGTGGGGGAATCGAAAAGCGATGATCCCGGGGAGTTAGCCGGCATGCATTCGCTCACAGGAGCAGCCTCCGGAGTTCTCTGTGAATGGCACTTTTTACGACGCGGCCCATGTAACGGAGGCCAGCTAGTAGTTGCTGTGCGAGTAAACCTCACTCCCCGATCTCAATAGGCGCTCTAGCGACAGACGCTAGAGGCTGCAGTCTTTAGCCTCCTTGTTAGCGCGCCTGACTCTCATGCCGGAGACCCGGGTTCGAGGCCCGCTCGGAGCGGGTTGAGTGGGACCCGGGTGTGAGGGGTTACACCCAGACGAAAGAAGCGGACTGGCTGGCCGCGTCCTCATTGGTGCTTACGCCCATGAACAGTCCCTCGATAGGTTGCAGCAGTTGCCGCAGAGCAACCAATAGGCTCACGAGCCATCTTGCCTAGGTCTGCTCTGTGCAGCAAAGAGTTTTAGATTAAAGCAAAATTAAGGATACATTTTTTTGGCTTCAGTATTCTCTAGAAAAGCGATTTTCCGAGAGTACTCTCATAAGAGAACTTGAAGGCTCTCTAACCTGTTTTGTGCATTTTGTGTCAATCATTCTGAAGCCTCTCTGGGCGCCACCATTGTAGCAGAAATTCACCTGCTGTTAGCATTCCATTGACTCCCATTCATTTTGGCGTCACTTTGACAGCGAATAACTTTATATCGTAGATGTCCAAAGACTCCATTTGTCCATTATTTATTTCTAAAGAAATAAATCAATATATAAAAGGCTCCATTACTTTGTACCTTATGTCATGGACGATTTAGAAGCCGTTTTGTAAATATCGGCTAATGATGTAGGCTAGCTGTGGTAAGGTATCAAAACACCATGTGAGCGGTCACTACGGGAACCAGAAAGTGTCCAACTTCGTCAACCCCGTCTCTGTTTGCAGCTCCTCCCCGCCTGCATGTGGCAACTTCCGCAGTGTGTGGTTGAAGGAGCGTGGTCTAATTCAGTTTGCAGGCAGTTAACAACAGCTTGTTATCTACTCATCTTTACAGCAGATGCACTCAGATACTGAAGTGTAGCTATTTCAGACCACTGAACTGTTGAAGAAAATGTTTTACACATTTGCTTTTTGCTGTCTGTGTTGTTTCTGTCTAGTTGGTGAGTTATAGACATATTTTATGGTTTATAGTTGGATGTTGTTTGTGTGGAGCTCATGCACTTCAGGTCCACCGTCAATGAGTAAAAACTGTTTAAATGTAATATATAACACTAAAACAAAATGTAAAATGTAAACTATGTGAATGTGTGTAAATGCAGATATCTTTGTTTTCCACCCTGCCATTTATTTCCCATGATGCTGTTTTTATCTTTCTACTTTCTCAAACTTTGCAATCATTTCAAAACTAACAGTTAAAGCTTCATTAAAACCATGTAATGTTTAATGTGTGTGTGAGAGACTGTTTCTGTGTGTTCTTCAGGAGTGTTTGCTGGTACAGATGAACTGAAGTCAGTGTCAGTGATGGAGGGAGATTCAGTCTCTCTAAACTCTGGTCTCACTGAAATACAGAACGGTGAAGATATAACGTGGAAATTTGGACCTAACAAGAATCTTATTGCTAGAACTGATGGAGTGAACAATACGATCTATGATGTTCTTGATGGGATATTCAGAGACAGACTGAAGCTGGACAATAAGACTGGATCTCTGACCATCATGAACATCAGAAATAATCATACTGGAGTTTATGAAGTTAAGATCAGCAGCAGCGGCCCATCATCTACACACAGATTCAATGTTACTGTCTATGGTGAGTAGAGAAATACAGCTCTCTCTATTGTATATTACAGAAGTGGCATTTTATTGTTATAATTAAGATGATTCAACTTTATTGTCAGTGTACAAGTATAGATCTTGTAAAATATGAAAATGGTGGATTGGATCTTTCATTGGACATAGGACACACAATGCATTTTGTTAAAATGCTTGCAGTGATGATCAGGATCTGGAGGGGATAGATGAACTATTTTGGTCTCCTCAAAAGTAAAGACACGCAGCTCAAAAAATAATTTTGATGAAAGTTGTAAAACTTAGAATGATTTTTGATGATAGTCTGAAAAGTCTCCAAAACAACTTTGGAGTCTGTCAGTCATATAACACCACAGACTCATCAAATTTCAAAGCTAATAACTTAGCCTAGAAATATTGTCCTAATTACATGAGTTGCCATTTTTTTCTGGATGTTAATGTTTTTTTTCCATTGCTCCTCTTTTGTCCAGTCTTCCTCATAAGTGTCTCCAAGCCTTGTAAAACTGATTTTTTTTGGATCAGGAATCATTCCGGTTCCACACCAAACCAAAGATGGTCAGGATATTGCTTAGCAATACTTTGGTGTCTTTAAACTATACTTTAGCTTAGGTATTTATTGTGTTCATACTTGTGTATTTGAGACTGACTATCAGCACTACAGCCACTTGAAATCATTTTTCTTATTCAAGAGCAACAGCATGGCTTTAATGTAAAGACTCTCAACTGGTGTGTGGTTGTGGATAGACTTTGGCTCTTAATCATTGCGTTGTGGGTTTTAATCTCTCACGCTGTTAAGATATGCCACTATTCATTTGATTCTTTGCATTGTGCTTTGTAGAATATAGGTCATGCATGACCTCAAAATTATTCTTATTTCTCTGTTCTTTCATGTTTTTCAGCTCGTCTGCCTGTTCCTGTCATCATCAGTAACTCTTCAAACTGTTCATCATCATCAGGATCATCAGTGTGCATATGTGTGCTGCTGTGTTCAGTGGTGAATGTGAGAGATGTGACTCTCTCCTGGTACGCAGGAATGAGTGTATTGTCCAACATCAGTGCGTCTGATCTCAGCATCAATCTCTCTCTACCTCTGGAGATCGAGTGTCTGGATGATTCCTACAGCTGTGTGGTGGCTTCTTCATTCACCAACTGGACCACACATCTCAACACTGATCTCTGCCAGACATGTCCAGGTACGTCAGCAGTGACATCACCAATTATTTACTGAGTTTGTGTTCCTGGTCACTGATTTAATATATTTTTATCTACAAAGTTATTAATGGATTTGTTGATGTTCTTGGACACTGATTGTTTCTTCAGGAAAACGTTTTAAGCAAGTTTAACTTAACTTTACTGTCAAACTTATCTTGGCTTTTCTATCTGCTGAGATGCTTTCATTGAAAAATAGGTGTTTTTTTCCTCCAGTAATTTAATACTTCCTCCCAGAGACACATATTAAAACACTGTGTCTCTGTGGCAATTGCAAGTAATTATTGCTCTATTTTTTGAGTGCCTTGACCTAAGGTCAGAGGCTCACTCCACTGGCAATATTTGAAAAGTGCTGGAAAAGTGGGCAGAGGCCAGCGGATGGGGGTTTGCACCTAAGACAGGTCTCTCTGTAGTAGGGGTGGCACGGTTCACGAAACTGACGGTTCGGTTTGTATCACGGTTTTAGGGTCACGGTTTTCGGTTCTGTACGGTTCTTGTTATTTTTTTTCATTTAATCTTTAACACTCCAGAGATGTACTTCAGCATGTGATATATAGCTTAATTATCCACACTTTAGGATACAGTCTAAAAAATGATATTCATGCAATCATGCACAAACTGAATTTGACTCTTTGACTTTAAGCACATTTTGGGGCTATCTCAGAGGAAAGCTAGGTGAGATTTTGACACAGCAAGAGAGAAGACATTGACATGCTTTTCGTTTATTTGGCAAAAAAAGGAGAATGTGTATCACTATGTCTACAAGAACTTGTGCATTTTTATCACACAAATCTTATTTACACAAAGAAATTAACTTGCATTTATCAACTGCCAACTTTTGTAGCTCTTACAAAAATTCTATCTTTTAAAAGAAAAAAAGAGGAACTCTTAAAACACTGTCTTTTATGAATAAGTCAATATACATGAAACCTCATTGACTATAATTAGCTATAGCAATAGCAAAGGCCATAAACATAAAGTGAAACATAAGTTCAACCTCAACACAAAAGACAGTATCAACAATGCTTCTATTCCCAGAGAGTGAGGGTACTTTTTTTCCACTTGAAATTAAAGTGCAGGATTTGGAAACATTTGACTGAAGCTCTTATCTAAACATAAAGTGCCACTGTAGCGTTATATTAAAATATCATAACATGAAATCCAAAATGTTCCCACACACTGGACTTAAACCATAGACTCATACAACACTGGCGCATCCTCCAACTCCCTCATCTCTCCCACTTGTCATTTCTCCGCGTGTAGCGCTCCATACTCCACTTTTACTGGCTTGTTTACTTGAACCGGCGCTGCACAGAGCGATCGGTAATGACATCAAATACCACGAAAGTGATTGAAAAGCATACGGAGCCGTCGCTCTCGCACTAGTCTGATGTTTTTCACCGGTCGCTCTGTGCAGCAGCGCCGGTCCAAGTCGAACAAGCTTATGCCGCAGTCACGCGAAAAGAAAACACACGTCACATACGGGCACGAGGCTACATTGCGCATGCGTGGAACCGTGAGACGCACACACGCTCCGAACCGAGACAAGCGAACCGAACGGTTCGGGTGTTTTTTCATGTACCGTGCCACCCCTACTCTGTAGGCAAGGGCGTGGTTAGCTGGTTCCCTCTTACATCACAGGGTACCACAACTTCCAATAGGAAAATTCAACTGCATTAGCCACCGTTCAACCTGCAGAGGGCAGCACTCAGATGTTTTTCACCATATATTGTTGAATTAAAACACTTTATACCCAAATGTAAAAAAAATAAATAAATACTTGAATCAATGAACAGCAATAATAAAGCCCCAGTCTTACAGATCACTAACTGAAAAAAGTTGTTTTAGGGTTTAGTTGTCAGGTTTGTGCAGGTTGCTGAAGACGAGGACACATGAACTTCAATGTAGTTAATTTATTTACAAACTAAGCTTCTAGAAACATTCAGGAACAAATGAAAACTCTCCAGGAATTCAAATACACACAACCATACATGGATGACGACCAACAAACACTGATGGAAAACACAGGTCTTAAAAGAACTGGGACTAATGGGATAATTAACTGAACACAGGTGATGGGAATAACTAATTAGACAGACAGGTAAAAACTAACAGGACTAAACCAAAAATCACAAAGACAGGGGGAAACAAGATCACAAAACTGAACTACATTTAGGGCTGGGCGATATATCGCACAATATTGTTATGGGCATCTAATCAGTAAAGCCGGTTCCTTGATTAGCAGTAGCAGTAATCACCTTCACCTGCTTTCAGATGGAGCTAAAATCGAGGATATATCGCCAACGATATTTAATGTGAAATGGCTCAGCTTGTCAGTGAACTACGGCTCTTCGTACACAGCAAAAACTCCAGTGTTAAATTAACACACCTGGGAGTGTATATGAGTCCACACTCAAGAGTGTTAAAGTTAATGTTAAAGGAGCTGTATGTAAGAAATTTATTTCAAATAATCATAAAATGGCCCTGATATGTCACTAGACATTAAGACAACAGTAGTCAGGCCAGGATATTGTCATTTAAAAAGTGAAGTTGCAGCCCTCAACTGTCATGTTTTGTTTTGGTGTGATGCTCCGCCCTCCACCAATCTACCAATCACGGACTCAGCAGTGTTGCAGCATTCGGGTTGCCAGCTCTGCTCTAGTTACCACAGCTGCAGATACAAACGTGCAGCCTATCTGGCAACCTCGAGTCAGGGGGGAGGGGGAGGGAATACACCACTCTAGATTAATTTGACAGTGATTGCAGTACCAGTTTTGGCCACAATCTTACATACAGCTCCTGTAATGTTAAATCTTTCTTTTAGGCACACAGATCTCACGATTCACTCAATGCATCTCAACAATGGTGACAAACAGAATATTCAATTAGGGAAAGTAAATTACATAGACAATTCAGATCATGATTTATTCATACCACAATGCATGATGGGAGACATTAATGAGTTGTGATTGGTGGCAACGAGGATTATTATTGTCACCATGGTTGAGAATTACAGGCTGATTATTGATGTCTGTGTTTCTAAATAAATGCATTTGAAAGTAAATTGATCAGAACAATTATTATTATTAAATGTTTTGGATTGTAAGAAAAACACGATTATCATATGCTGTAGAATCACGAAACTGTTGCTAACAAGTTAAACCAAATCATCTAAATAAGTTTCTTTTTTTCAGATCACAGCATGATTATGTCAAAACATAACCAACACTATCAGATCACACTTTTCTTTGTTCATTTGAATGTTGTAAATCAATAACAGCAGACAAACAAAATTTAAAGTAAAAGTATAAGGGTCAAGAGTCCAACTAAAGCAAACACTGATCGCCATAACGGTGGCTTACAATTTGTGATTTTCTCCTTCAGTGATTCTGCTGGTTATCATCAGGTGTCTTCAATAATGCTCAATCATCACTAAATTAATCACTTAATTATCTCATTAACTTTAACACTCTTGAGTGTTCACTTAACACTCATATCTGCATCATATCGTCCATCTGAAAGCATGCACCCAACAATATCGTGTGATATATTGCCCAGCCCTAGTCTGAAGTACATCATACAAATAAACATTTACAATTTACGCAGCGTCCGAACTTTCATTGCGATCCATTGTTTTCCTATTATTTAAATTGGCCGCTCTCCTTCCTGTTACGTCACTTCCGATTTGCCATTTTCAGATGCGGAAGTAAAATGTACTCACAAAAATGACTCTAGAAGCCCTAATAGCATATTTATTAGTATATATTTAAATCTATTTCCTACATCATTTTTCTGTACATTGACTCACAGGGGGCTCTAACCTGCAATATGCCCTTTAACATTCAATGAAAAATAAATACAGTATTTTGTCCCTCTTTTAATTGAAATGCTGTTGTCCAAATCTTCTGTTCTGATTGGTATTGTTCTTTTATATCCTCAGACTGTGTTTTCTGTTGTCATGTTTCTGAAGCTGTCGCCCGATTGGTCATCTCTGCTCTGGTGGGTGTGGCTGCTGCCTGTATTGTGGTGTATGACATCACATCCAGAAAACAGGAGAGAACATAACAGACACCATCATCATCATCATCATCAGACCCTCACAGATTAATCATATAATGTCACATTGTGAGGAGGAGGAGGAGGAGGAAGAGGGACTTGACTGGGGCTTTGCCAGAATATTTTTAAATTCACAACACAACTTCAATCAGTTGATCTTGAATATTTCAATGATTAATCCCTTTTCTTTTATTATTGTAACACTTATTCTGTTATATAACTGAGAATAATGGGATTGCTGGTTTATTTTACTCTATAGTTTTCTCTGGTTTATGTTTTTCTTATTAACATTACTATTAAGTATCACGTAAGTTTTGTTTATTACTCTGACAGTGGTGGTAACACTTTAGAATACGGTTCCTTCGTTAATAAATAACTACACAGGAACAAATGATTAACACACACTCAAAAAAATTATGTGTTGGCTTTACTTAACTTTTTTTGTAAACAGGTTCCACCGGTTCCACATAACTGGGTTTCGTTAAAGAAACATAATTTTTTCATGTATCTTTAACATCATGGAAGTCATTTTAAGCCATCCAATCAAACTCTGAGCTGAGTGTTAAATGAACACTGAAGCAGTGTTAAAATTAATAAGATAATTAAGTGAATAATTGAGTAATGATTGAGCATTATTGAAGACACCTGATGATAACAAGCAGGATCTCTGAAGCAGAAAACTGGAATTTAAAGTCACCATTATGGTGATCAGTGTTTGTTTTAGTTGGGCTCTTGACCCTCACATTATTAACTTTATATTATTTTTGGCTATTCATGAGTTATAGCAACCAGATGATCACATAGAAAAGGTGACCTGATGATGTTGGTTGTGGTTTAACAGTCATTATATGTTGGCATTATATGTTGATTATAACTTGACACCTTGACACTGGTCAAGTGGAACTGGGGATTGAACCTCCAACCTTCCGGTTTATATACAACCTAAATGAGCCACTGTTAAGTTTACCTTATAGATTATAGCAGCACTGTTGTTATAGAGCATACCATTTTTAGTATTTTCAATGAAAACCAAATGATCAAATCAATAAAAAAGAAACTTTAGTTATTAAAAACAAATTAGTTTATATAGGCACACAGACATCAATAATTAGCCTGTGAATCTCAACAGTGGTGACTATTATAAAGCGTGTTGCTGTGCATTCTGGGTGCCACCAATCAAAACTCATTCATGGCTCCCATCATGCATTGCTGCATGAATAAATAATGAGCTTATGTTCAGAGGTAGGGCTGGGCGATATATCGCACGATATTGTTATGCGCATCTAATCAGTAAAGCCGGTTCCTTGATTAGTAGTAAATCACATTTACCTGCTTTCAGATGGAAGATATGATGCAGATATGATTGTTAAGTGAACACTCAAGAGTGTTAAAGTTAATGAGATAATTAAGTGATTAATTTAGTGATGATTGAGCATTATTGAAGACACCCGATGATAACCAGCAGAATCGCTGAAGGAGAAAATCACAAATTATAAGCCACCGTTATGGCGATCAGTGTTTGCTTTAGTTGGGCTCTTGACCCTTATACTTTTACTTTAAATTTAGTTTGTCTGTTGTTATTGATTTATAACAGTCAAATGAACAAAGAAAAGTGTGATCTGATAGTGTTGGTTATGTTTTGATATAATCATGCTGTGATCTGAAAAATGAAACTCTTCAGATGATTTGGTTTATCTTGTTATCAACAGTTTAGTGATTCTACTGCATATCCGTATTTTTCTTATAAGCTAAAATATTTATTAAAAATTGTTCTGATCAAATCACTTTTATCTTTATTTAGAAACACAAACATCAATAATCAGCCTGTGAATCTCAACCGTGGTGACAATAATAATCATTGTTGGCACCAATCACAACTCATTAATGTCTCCCATCATACATTGCGGTATGAATAAATTATGATCTGAATTGTCTGTGTAATTTACTTTTCCTAATTGAATATTCTGCTCGTCACCATTGTTGAGAAGCATTGACTGAATCTTGATATCTGTGTGCCTATAAGAATTTTTTTTAAACAACTTTTAAGAAATCCTTTATATTATAATATATCTCAAATTCTGGATATTTATACAGAATCTCAGTTATGCTGAAACCAACAGAATAAATCACAAACATATATTTCAAATGATGAATGTCATTATATAGCCAACACCATTAAATACATTTTTCTTTGTTCATCTAGCAGTTATAACTCAGATACAACAGCCAATTAAAATATAAAGTTAATAATGTGGGGGTCAAGAGCCCAACTAAAGCAAACACTGATCTCCATAATGGTGGCTTACAATTTTAGATTTTCTGCTTTAGGATTTAGATTTTCTGCTTTTTGATTCTGCTTTAGGGGTCTTCAATAATGCTCAATCATCACTCAATTAATCACTGTTGTCAGAGATATAACTATTTGAAATAAACTTGATTTCTTAATGTCTAGTGACATATCAGGGCCAGTTTATGATTATTTGAATTTCTTAAATACATCTCCTTTAACATTAACTTTAACACTGTTGAGTGTGGACTCATATACACTCCCAGGTGTGTTAATTTAACACGGGAGATTTTGTTGTTATGAAGAGCCGTAGTTCACTGACAAGCTGAGCCATATCACATTAATTATCGTTGGCGATACGTCCTCGAAGGTGATTTACTACTAATCAAGGAATCAGCTTTACTGATTAGATGCGCATAAAAATATTGTACGATATATCGCCCAGCCCTATTCAGAGGTGATCTGTTCTTCACCATTGCTGAGATTCATACGTTAAATATTGATGTCTGTGTGTGCATGCATACAAATGTTGTTTTTTTTTAAAGTTATTTCTTTTAATCATTTGGATTTCTTTGAAAAGGTTAAAAAAATGATATGCTCTACAATGGCAGTGCTGCTATAATCCATAAGTTAAACTTAACTCAGAAATTTGCTTCTGTATGAGTTCAGTGATTCAGGTCAAATGACTGCGATATAATGACAATGTTAATACACAACCAACATCCACAGATCACATTTTCTAGTTGATTATCTGGCTGTTATAGCTTATATACAACAGCCAAACATAATCTAAAGTTAATAATGTAGGGGTCAAGAGCCCAAACTAAAACAAACACTGATCTCCATAATCGTGACTTTAAATTCCGTTTTTCTCCGTTCAGTGATTCTGCTTGTTATCATCAGGTGTCTTCAATAATGCTCAATCATCACTAAATTATTCACTTAATTATCTCATTATCTTTAACACTGCTTCAGTGTTCATTTAACACTAAGCTCAGAGTTTGATTGAATGGCTTAAAATGACTTCCATGATGTTGAAGTTAAATGAACAAATTATGTTTAACAAAACCAAGTTATGTGGAACCGGTGGAACCTGTTTACAAAAAAAAAGTTAATTAAAGCAAACACATTTTTTTTTTGAGTGTATTTATTAATAAACAATTAAAATGGGTCAGTGTAATGACACATTTATTATCATTAGCCTATAAATCATCTATAAATCTGCCCTCTGAATGTTTCAGAGACATGGCTCTTCTCATTCAGCACTGCGGGAAAGATATAATTTCCAGGTTCTAATTTGGCCTTAGAAAACCAGTTTAAGCATTTTTTTCCGTATTAATTTGTGAATATTTGAAATCTTTAATAAAGGGTCAAAATGTCATAAACATAAAATATGTCTATAAAATAACTCTCTTTAGAAATCAGAGCTTGGCAAGAGTAGTGATATCAACTTAAATATGCTACAACATCATGTACATGTTCTACGATATGATGTTGTATATTGTTGTATGTATATTGTAATGATTTAAGCCTTGTACATGTACAATATGATAGACTACTCAAATGAATGGAATAAGCACAACACGTTTACAAATCAAACAGCGCGTTAATTGCCGAGACCATTTTTTTTAGAGTGTATGTTGAAGAAACCAACTACATAACCGACTAGATTATCTATGTTTATGAGATATGTGTGTGTGGGTGTGTGTGTGTGTGTGTGTGTGTGTGTGTGTGTGTGTGTGTGTGTGTGTGTGTGTGTGAATAAGCTACTGGACGTCTAAAATTTCCTTTTGGTATGAATAAAGTAGGCTATATATCTATTAATCTATCAAATGTCATTTAAAATAATTAAAAACGTAAGCATAAATGTAGTTGATGCTAAAAGTAAAAGTAAGCATCAATGTAGTGTAGTAAGATGGGTCAATTATATTCAATTGTAAACTAAAATATCAAACATCGAGCAATTCAGTGAAACAAATTTCTAGCTGTATAGGCAGAGGATGCAGACTTGGAGGATCTGTCTGTGTGAGTAAGAACAGTCTTTCAGGACAATCTTTATATACCTGTCTGACACAGAGGAAACTATTAATGAAAATTCAACAAATATCTTATTTTGTCATTGGATGAACAACCCAGACAGGTTTCTGATTTGTCAATGAAATGATTTGTGAGCCACACCCCTTTGATGGAAAGGGTAATGAGGGTTGGAATGTTAGCATGTTAAGTGATACTATGGAAATGGACCTTGATCGATTATATCCATACAAGGCCTTAACTATATTAAACAAAAAATAATTAAAAACAACTATTTAAAGTAACTATGTAGTATAGTAAGAGTATTGAGTAACCTAAAAGCTGTTCTGATTGACTAGGCCAATCTCGACATGTTAAAATAGCTTAAAATCGTTTTTTAGAGTTTCCCTATTCAGGGCTAAAACAGGTAGTGTATCCCCAAAATGTCAATGTTAACATTCATATTAATATTCTACACATCCAGACCTTTCAGAAAAGCATGATTTTGTCAGGGGAGGGGGTTGGGGTGTATGATAGGCGAATGGTCGTGGCCTATGCATGAAATGGGCTCATTATGTCAACATAAAGCCTTAACTATGTTAATTTTCAGCCCATTCTCACCCCCAAGGCGTCACTTAACTGACGCCTTGGGAAGCATTTGGACATGCTTCAATATCTGACGCTTTAGGCGCCCTTTAGCGTCAGTTAGATGACGCCCTAGGATCGCATGTACCCAACCCCCACCCCACACCTAAACCTAACCGCGTCCTCTAACTGACGCTTTCCTTTAGCGTCAGTTAGATGACGCCGTAGGATCGCGTCATGTAAGTGACGCTAAAGGGCGCCTAAAACGTCAAATATTGAAGCATGGTCAAAGGTGACGCCTTGGGGTGAGAATGCGTTCTAATTTTAGACACCTACCAATAAGCAGCATGGTAGATATTTGACCTAAGTCATCATATGTTAAGTTTGAGTGTGTATTGGGTCCCTTAAAAGCTGTTCTGATTGACTAGGCCAATCTCGAAATGTTAAAATCGCTTAAAAACGTTTTTAGGGTTTCCCTACTCACAGGCCTAAAACAGGTAGTGCAACCCAAAATTTTGAATGTTAACATTCAGATTCATATTCTACACATCCAGACCTTTCAAAAAAGTATGGTTTTGTTGGGAGGTGGGGGGGGGGTGCACGGTAGGCCTATGTAGCTCACCGCCTAATAACAGTGAGTAATGCCCCCCATTTGTGCCTGAGCGCCCCCCTCTCTGCTGCCTCGTTCGGTTCACACCGCCCCCCTACACTGTCCAAACGCTCTCTTTGAGAAATGCTAATGTATAATAAGGCTGTTGGCAATGTGCGACTCAATGTTCAAGTTCATACTGTTATACACTTGTGCAATCATTGTGATGGTACCCTTGCATTAAAGGAGCTGTGTGCAAGATTGTGGCCAAAACTGGTACTGCAATCACTTTTAAATTAGGGTGTATCCCCGCCTCCCCTTGACTCTTGACTCGAGGTTGCCAGTTATGCTGCAGGATCCAGCAGGAATGTAAGCTGCTACAAGAAGCTTCCAATGGCAAGTGACGAGTCCTACACAGTGATTTTTTTTCTGTTAATTATTTATTTCGGACTTTATAACAAAGTATTTCGGATTCATATCGAGTTTTTGGTGTTTCGTTTTTGGGGTCCACGTGTTTGTATCCGCAGCTGTGGGCACTAGAGAAGAGCTGGCAACCCGAATGCCGCAACACTACTGAGTCTAGATCGGTGGAGAGTGATGCATCAGAACAAAACACAACTTGACAACATCAACATCAGTCGAGGGCTGCAACTTCCCTTTTTAAATGACAATATCCTGGCCGGACTACTGTTGTCAGTGTATTTGAAATGAACATGATTTCTTAATGTCTTAATGTAATGTTCTTAATGTATGATTAATTGAAATACATTTCTTGCATACAACTCCTTTAACAATGGAGATGGCATTTTGACAATATTCTGAGCAATTTTTAAATATTTGTTTATTATTATTATTATTCAGTTTCCTAGCTTTTATATTGTATTTATTTATTATGTTATTTTGCTAGTAATTCATATTTATTAACTGTTTCATCTTGAATTTATTTATTTTTAACTACTTGTGCTAATTATTCTAAATTTATATTTTTCTCTTTATTTTTTAATGCAAATTTGACGTTGTCACAAGAGTAATTTAATTGTGTTACACAATGACAATAAAGTAGCTACCTGAATACTTGAATACCCAGGGGAAGGGAAGATGTGATGTATATGCACACTAGCTTACTACCATCTTATTCGATTGTAATGCCGAGGAGGAGTCTTCTTAAGAAGACGACACAGCCTCAGGATGCAGCCACTTCCAGCGTTTCTCAGAAATCGCAGCTGCACCTTTAAAACTATCCCAGTTACCCTGTTTATGGGCGTGTTTGTTGAGCTTGTGATGCTCGTTGGTAGGTGGCGCTGTAGGTTGTATCTGATACAGGAAGGATCAGCCATTTTTGAAAACGGGACTGCGTTTTGTATTGTTTTTTAAATTAACAAGCAATTTAGACCTGTCTCTTTCAGCATAATATTAATCATCAAGATATACTATAATCGGCTCAACCGTCTCTACGTTGGCCTAAATGTTTTTCTTTTCATGTTCGTCGTCTCATATAGCTAACAAGATCTCTGGTTCAGCAGGGCGCGGCTCAGAAACACTCACAGAAAATACGACTTTAATAACTCTACGATTATCTACTATCCATCACTCATCTCTACATCAACATGAAGAGCGCACTTATACGTGTTCTTTTCTTATTATGTGCAACGGGTAAGTTATTGTTGTTGTGTGTTTTTCTTCTTCAAACATAGCTGCAACACTTTCGTTTTCGTTTTCTACACTGGAAACGAGCATTTTCTTTTCAATATTTTCTTATTCTTTGAATTTCAAAATGTAACAACTGTAATCACTAGCTGTAGTATGGCATCATTTGTATATGCTAGTGGACAATAACAATGACTAGCCTACATGATATTTTAGTAGCCTATGCAGTCAGTTTACAACAATTTAAATAATTACCATTACTGATTAAAGCGGCAAGCAGCACTTGCGTAAAACGTTATATTTTATTTAGCAAACAAACACTTGGAAAACTTAGGAAACCAAAAGTAATTTCTAAAAGATCACCAGAGAATCAGATTCAGTCAAGAATAATTTTGAAACATAAGTTAATAATGCTTGTTGGATGGAACAAGGTGGATTATGCAAATTAAGAAATCAAGTAACTAAAATGAATATGAAGAAGAAAATATAATTTTCAAAATTAAATATGATTGTATAAAAAAACGTGGAGTATTCTCAACGATAGTCCTTATTTTATTAATATAGGTGACTCATTTTTAACAATTTTTAAACCATATGAAATTGGAAATTATTTTAATGATTGTTTTTTTCGTAAATAAAGTTGATAAAATAAGAGAAGAAATGTTGTTTGGCAGAACCAGTTTGCTATATCTTTAATATCAGTATTGAAAAGGGATTTTTCTTTTAGCTTGGAAAGCTGCAATCTTTAGAAAAATGCAGCACTGGGTTTTAATGGTCATAATAGTCGACCAATAAGATGGCTACCAGATCTTAGCAAAGTAGCCTATTGAAAATGATAGTTTGTGAGCAAATTCAATTATTCTTTAAGGAGAATAATTTGCTCTCTCGTTTTAAGCATACATATTGAGAGAGCACAGATTGATGACAATAACTTGGTAGGAGCAGTATTGTTAGATTTTTAACTGAGCTTCAAATCCAGACTCAAAACACATATGTTTAGCTATGTATTTACTGAATGAGCACTGTGCCACTGTTCGTCCGACTGTTATTGTATTTTTGTTTTGTTTCCTTTTTATTAAAAACTTTTTTATTATTATTATTTTAATTCCTTCTATTTAAAGCACTTATTAATTACCATTGTGTATGAAATGTGCTATATAAATTAACTTTCCTTGCCTAAAATCGTTCCTAGTTCCTGCAGTGTGAATATGCCAAATCCGGGTACTTTATGGAATTATTTTTGTGTCAATAAAAATGAACGTAACTTTTCAAGAAACTAATGAAAATGTAAATTGAAACTGAATAAAATATCTTTGAAACTGAAAAAGAATGAACCGCAAGCAATTTTTGTACTTTGTTTTTAATACACTACATGTTTTGCTAACTATTCCTCATATTTCGTTTACTGATCTACACTTACAAATGCGCTTTACGCTTCTGATGTTTTCGTTTACACTCCCTGAGTTTGCGTTCGCTGTTCTGACACAAATCTCTCGTGGGGGCGAGGATAGTAGCAGTGTATTCTCATTGGCTACTGAGTTTTTGATTGACAGCTTTTTGACCTGGAAGGGAAGACGTCAGTGTTGTGTTTAGACGTGTGGATGTGAGCGTCTGTAAGCGCAGCTTTCTATTTAATTTTAGTGATATTAAGTTATGTTTGTTTTTTAATTTTATCTGTATTTACCTTCTGCTGCGATTACTTTGTCAACAGAAGCTTTTAGGTTCACAAGAGATCAGTCTATTCAGGTGTAATTGTACATCAAAGTAGGCCCACTGTATATGACTACTTAAACTATTGTGTCCAATCAGTGGCGGTTCTACTTTGAATTACACCCAGGGCGAGACCCCCTTCGAGCGCCCCCCCCCCCCTCCTCCTCCGAAAAAAAAAACTTTGCATATTATAGGCTACTGTAAAAACTCATAATAGATAGTCAACTCATAGTTGATTTTAGTTTATCATTATGAAAAGTATTATATAATATGGTATATCACATACACCGAATCTTGTTTAAAAAGCCTAATACATAGTGAAATCAATTCACCAAGTTAATAACATTAAAGATTTGTTTTAAAGGAGTCTCTTTCATTTTACCTACTAAACTTAAAAAAAGGTTAACACACAAAAAAGGGTTTTATATAAAGATAAACCTCATATTTCAGCATTTAAATCATCTCTATAAAAAGAATGAGTCAATAAAGATACATTCCTGACATTTCTACCCTAACATTTATAATGCACAGTAGCTTATCTTTTATTATTAATAGTAAAATTCGTACCGATTTTCCCATGGCTGTCGTTGCTATAGGACCATGCACTCATTACACTGCGCTCTACACAAGGAGTTTTAGTAGCTAATGTATTTCCACCACAGAAAAACGCTTTCTGAAGCTCTGCTAAAAGATTTATTTATGGAGAAGAGAAAAAACACCCAAGTGTTTGGGTGCACGTGCACTCCCATACTGAAAAGTTTATGAGCGCGCTTCCCGTGAGCGCATAATGAGCGCGCTTCCCGTGCGCCTATTTGAAACATAGAGGATTTGAAATAACGATCTCGAGCGCGCAAAAGACGCGATACGTGAACTAATGAGGAGATCCCCTTGACATCGCTTCTCAGCAAGCAGGGCGCCATTGCCAATAATTGAATCGAAATAAAAAATAGAAAAACTTCGCGGCACAGAGTATTTTTTTAACTGCTCGTGCCGCCCCCCATGTGACATGAAGAAATGCCGCCCCGGGCGACTGCCCGGTTCGCCCGTGGCTAGAACCGCTACTGTGTCCAATGTTTTAGGAGAATATTTGTTTATTCTTGATGATTCGTTTGCATGTTAGGCTCTGAATAGGTTGTGCTATTACAATATAAAGAGAATAGCCTACTAGTATACGTGTGTGATATATTCAGCAGTCAAGAAAGTTTCACTTCAACCAGGTAATCAAGTTTGGCAACCATGGCCATCAAATTTCTCATTGTTACCATATGCATTTACACCATCAAATGATCATGTATGATCACTTAAATAAGAGAAATTTAAACTATATGAAAATTACAATCGTGGGTTGCTGTCAGATGATACAGACCTCAAAGGGCATTTCATTACATATTTCACACAAAGAATATTTTTGTTGGCATTTTTTTAATCATGCTTATAATTTTATTTATTTAATTTCGTTAATATTATTTTCTAACATTTAAAATGATAAATATATTTGAACAATCATCAACAGGTTCAATTATGACTTATAAAATCAGTTAAATGAATTTAAATAAAAAATCGAATAACTTTATTCATTCTTTATTGTCACTACAGCATATACACAAGTACCAAAGTGAGCAACATGAAAGTCTTGGATGCAGTTATGACAGGAAAGACCATAATCCACAAAACATTAACTGCATACTATACATGTAATGCACCGTATTCTCATAATACTTAAAACATCTCTGTGAGTCCACATAACACAAGTGGATTGTAACCATGTATGACAGTTGGTCGGAAGGTATTTTTAATAGTTAGAACAGTTTACATTATTAGTATTTTTTTTATCCTATTGTTTAACTTCAGAAGGTATTGATTCATCCACTGAGGTCGCATGGACATCACGGTCACTGTGTGTGGTTTTTGAAGCATCTTTAGGGCTTGCAGAGATGGATTACTTTCCTTAAAATCTTAATTCGTATTTATATGTAGAAAGAAAGTAAAATGCATCTGGGACAGCATGAGGGTGAGTAAAATAAGTGAGAATTTTATTTTTGGATGAACTATTCCATTCATATGCTGTTGGTATGCTAATCCATGATCAGCAGAGACTAATAAGAATAAACTGCAACCTCTTGTGTACTGTGTTTGTTTTAATCTAGAGCTCCAAAGAAATTAAAATATTTGCTATTTTATAATATTAAAATAAAATACAACAGGTGTCTGAAGATAAGGATCCCAGTCATTCAAAGGTGATATGTCTGAACAAAGTAACATTATTGTCTGATGGAGACAGCTGATCTCTGGTATTATCACTCCATCCTCTGTGTCAGCATCAGAATTTTGTTTATGGAAAAGTTGTTCAAATCCCTGGAAAATGAGAAAGGAAATATATTATAATCTAACAATACAAACTGCTTTGAACTCCCACATGCAGTAACCATTTGCAGACTTAAAATAATTATTTCAAACAAATTATATAAATGTTTTAAGGGATTTTACAGCACTAAATGTTTACCTCTGACTCATGCACCATTTATCATCTGTAATACTATTGTGTAACCAGTAGATGGCTGTATAGCCCAATAAACATTTATCCATGGCTGTGTAGCGTCTACGACCTAGTTGCTGGATTTTTTCGGTCATAATTACTTGCATGTATTAGGTTTTGCATTTAGATATATATTTATTATTAAAGACTATTAAAAACAAAGTACAAAAATTGCTTGCGGTTCATTCTTTTTCAGTTTCAAAGATATTTTATTCAGTTTCAATTTATATTTTCATTAGTTTCTTGAAAAGTTACGTTCATTTTTATTGACACAAAAATAATTCCATAGTACTTTAGCCAATCATTCTAGAAACTATGTATGAAAATGTTCCTTGAGTTCCAATGAATCTAATGAATTAAATTCTATTGTTTGTTTGAGACTAAACTAAAACATATATAGCCTAATATCTAAAAGTGTTTAGATAGGGGAAACCTTTGACATTAGTTATTGTCCTAGCTATATTGTTTTTATGTTTTTTTGTTTTAGGTGTGACATCAAGATCTGTCCAGGGACAGCAGATGTAAAATAGCCTACTGGCTAATTCTGGCACACTTTACATTTAATCATGTATCATTAGTGTGCATTGTCCTTGTTAAATAAACCTGAAATAAAAAATAAATAAATACTTCTATACTCATTTGGTTAATTGTTATTAAGAGTGAGTTTTAAGTTTGGGTTCCTCAAATGCAAATATGTATCTGTTGTAGCCATACAAAATATTTTATTTAACTTTTATATAAGTTTGTGCGTGTGTGTGTGTGTGTGTGTGTGTGTGCATGATGGGCACACAGAACAGTGTAGACTCAGATTTAATGCAGACTGCTGCAAATCATGCAATATTTATTAGCACCACTGATCAGTCAACAAGACTCATGATTTCGGAGTGTTTTATGTGTTTAATTTCTGACTATTTCTGTTTGTTCTCCAGGTGTGTTTGGTGACGTAGAGAGAGTGTCAGTCATTGAGGGAGAGTCTGTCAATTTACACACTGGTGTTACTGAAGTACAGAGAGATGATGAGATAGAATGGAGGTTAAATGGATATCGCATTGCTAGAATCAGAGATGGCTCCATCAGTACTGAAGGGGCATCCAAAGACAGACTGAAGCTGGACAAACAGACTGGAGATCTCAAGATCACAGACATCAGAACCACAGACTCTGGAGAATATAAACTAGAGATCACCAGTACCAGAGGGTCCTCAGAGAAGATATTCAGTGTCAGTGGTGAGTGTCTTTTTTAATTTAATAATTGCTATACATAATTAACACCCTATGAACAATTTAAATTTCCCACAATGTTTTGTTAAAGATGCAAAATGTTACTGGCAAACTGTAATTTATACAAAGAATTTCAGTTTAAAATAAGATATTTATAAATAAAATAGTTGTCATTATCTGAGAAGAAAACTGACAAACAGTCCCTTTAACAATCAATATCTTCTTTATCATAAAGAAAAATGACAGATATCATATTTATTTGAATTCTATGGTAAAATTATCATATCAGTACATTCACCATTTTTTTTTTATTTTTATTTTTTTTTATTTACACCAGAATTATATTTCTTTAAAATACAGTAATGTTGGTAAATAGTTCAATCTTTGAAAAAATTATAACCTTCAAAACAGCTGTGAGAACATTTGTATTTTGTATCGTTGAGATTAATTTAGACATGTATGTCTAGAGGTCATCTCATCTTGAATATTTCCAATATTGATAACTAAGATTGTGTATTTCATTTGCTCTCAGAATGACAATAGAGATGAACCTGGTCTAAGATGGAGGAAAAGCAGATTTCCAAATAATTAGTCAATAGTTACAGGTAGGGCTGGGCGATATATCGCACGAAATTGCGCATCTAATCAGTAAAGCCGGTTCCTTGATTAGTAGTAAATCACATTTACCTGCTTTCAGATGGAAGATATGAGTGTTAAGTGAACACTCAAGAGTGTTAACCTGTTAACTGTCACCCCCCCCTTTTTTGAATAGACATGAAAATGCACATTTCGAACTTAAATGGTTGTAATTCAAGAATGCTTTGGAATATAGACATATGATTGGTCTTGTTTTAAAGAAGACATCTGGTAGATTTTTGTAGAAGTGAAATAAATTAAGAATGTGAAACAGAAAAAAAGTTATAGAAGTTTGAGTTTATGGAAATGTACAATGTAAAAATATTAATTATTCATATTTTACATAAAATATATATTTTCAAAACCTGGGCTACTCTAAAATGGCAGAAAGATCAAAGCCAAAAATCTGAACAAGTTGTGTTTCAAATTTTAGGTTGATATCTCAAAAAATGAGCTTTTAGTAAGATTTTGTTTGAGCGCAGTACCAAACTTTTTCACTAGGGCACAAACAGACTCCATTACTGCCCATATAAGGGCGTCTGCATTTCCATTCGTGTTTTGAGTGATATGAACCATTATTTTCACAATTTTCATACAATTTCTGAAGTAGAGATCCTATTCAGAAGTAGCATGGGAAGTTTGGCAGATTTTAATATGAATTGAACCTCTAAGAAACACATACAAAGAACACGCATGTAAGTCATAGCTAGCTGCCACATCACAAATGGTGAATTTATTATTTTTTTTCTTGATATTTCAAACTTTTCAGACCTTTTTTCCAAAATAATTGAATGGATTCTATCTTTTGAACTTTTGGCATGAAAACAAACTGAGGTATCTACCATTTTTTCATTTTTTTTTTATGTTTACTGCTATTATAAAATAAAGGTCTGAACACGCCTTATGAGTATGAAAATATTCTTGTTTTATATTGATAAATTATGGCTCCTCTGTAATATATTTTGAAAATCAGTCACCAAATATGGAAACTAGAGATTGTAAGCTTTCAAATGATATATAGTTTGTCAATATTATTTAAGGTATTTACTAAGATATTATTGTTTTAAAAATATAGTGGCAAACGTCCCACCTGTGGGACGGTGACAGTTAAGTGGTTAAAGTTAATGAGATAATTAAGTGATTAATTTAGTGATGATTGAGCATTATTGAAGACACCCGATGATAACCAGCAGAATCACTGAAGCAGAAAATCACAAATTATAAGCCACCGTTATGGCGATCAGTGTTCGCTTTAGTTGGGCTCTTGACACTTATACTTTTACTTTAAATTTAGTTTGTCTGTTGTTATTGATTTATAACAGTCAAATGAACAAAGAAAAGTGTGATCTGATAGTGTTGGTTATGTTTTGATATAATCATTCTGTGATCTGAAAAATGAAACTTACTCAGATGATTTGGTTTAACTTGTTAAATTATGTTCCGTAATTAATTGTTTATAAACAATTAAAATCTCTCTGTGTTATATTCCACATATTTATAATCATCACTTCGGCAACGACTACTTTGATCACTTGATTAAAAAAAACCCCACACATTTCAGAGTCTAGAACGACTCTAATTTGACAAATGAACAAATTGAATGGTCTGAAAGTTAACTGGAGATGTTTTATTAATTTGTATTGGTACGTCCGTGACGCGAAGATGTTTTAAAAAGTGGTGGCCGGGAGAATATCAAACTTGGCAAAAAAGTGTTGATGTGCGTCAATGTGAACGCCCCCTCATCAGCCTCCGCTGGCACCGGCTCTGAGTCAAATGAAATACAATAAACCTTCAAATAAATATTACATTTAAAAAAACGATCAGAAATGTCACCCAATTTTCTAATACTATTATTTGATGACAACAATACATTTGGAAAACAAAATGCAGCCATTTCTGTTTTTTTTTTTAACAAAAAACCAAGCTGCACCCTTTTTTAAATTTCATCTTTCATTCCGAAATAGAATAATGAATGAACGATAAAGTCAACGCATTCTCATCCTTTAGCGTCATATGTGACGCTATATGCAAAAACGGCGCTATACTACACACATGGCACCCTTTATCGTTAATATAACACGCGCTGTGATGGTTAGGTTTAGGTGTGGGATAGGGTAGGGTAGTCTCATATTATGCTAAAGGATTTATGACGACTTGGGTTCGCGTGTTATATTAACGATAAAGGGTGCCATGTGCGTAGTATAGCGCCGTTTTTGCATATAGCGTCACATATGACGCTTAAGGATGAGAACGGGCTCAAAAAGTACACGGACCGTCTTTACCAAGGTACGACCAAAGTACGTTTTAACCGTTTGTTTGGGGTTTTTTTTTGTATAATTAACAAAGGAAAAAAAACAGGCCATTTTTCCGTTTTTTCATTTTTGACCTGAAACGAAAAACCAACATTCAATTTTTTTTTTTTAATAAAAAAAAAAAAATGAAATTCAGCGCAATGTCGTTTTTCATTATTACTGACAAAACAAATTCATTTCTCCTTATTTCCTTTCATTGGTTGGTGGGACTTTATCAACCCCTTGCTTCTGATTGGATAGTGTTCTCCATCAGTTATGTCTGTGCTTCAGGCTACATTTCAAAATTAAGGTTCTCCCAAATAATTTCCATTACTGCTGTGGAGCTCCCTCTTTGCCTTAAGTTTATGCAATGTCTCTACAAAAATACACACTTGGATAAGTTTATTAATGAAAACTAATTAAATAATGCAATAAATCCCCATCATGATTAAGAGATTAACAGTTTATGAGAGGAGGCGATTCAACAGTTTGATCAGTTTGGAGCATGTAGCCTAGTTTGTGTTGTTAAACTGTAATGAATTAAACAAAGGTGTTTCTGTTATTTAGCCTCACAGATTAAGGTTTATTTTAGTAAATGCTGTGGACAGTAACATGTTCTCAATATTATAAAGATCGATGCCATCGAACTACGGCAAGCACACGAAAAGTATTGACAGTAAATGACCAGCAGGTGTCGCACTGCACCTCCGTCAGCTGTGATCACCTGGAGCCACTTGAGAAAACAGTTCCACTGAGTTGATCCTGCAGTGTATAAAGATTCATCACACCTGAGGCCTGTTTCAATAAGGAGGTTCAACCAACTCTGAGTTAAAGCTTGAACTCAGAGTTGACTTACCCTGAGATGGGAAACTCCCGAGTTTTCAGTTACAGAACAGCTGAAATGAGTTAGTTCAATCAACTCTGAGTTGACTGACTCTGAGTTAAGCGCGTGCACCACAGCTATAAAAAGCCATTATCAATGGAGCGCAGATATTACGAGTCACCATGGCAACAGCGCCAGACAAAAAGAGGTGTTTGGTATAATTAATTACCAAGTAATCTAAATATTGTAATTTAATTAAAGGGATTACTCTTAATTCTTCTTTAATTTAAAATAAAATATGATGCAATTACATTAAATAGGCTACTGCATAAACTATAGACCAATTCAGTATAAAACAATAGTGGATTTAGCATACATTTTTAAAAGGTATATTTTTATATAACCTTCTCCCTCTACACACTTTGATCAATTCAAGAATAATTCATGCAATTGTATATTGTTAATTTGAAAGCATTAAAAGTGCAGTTTCTTGTCTCTCCTCCTTGTATTAATCAAGTGGTTGAGGTTGATATAGGATTTAGTAATATGTAGAACAATACTTTCTAGAGATAGTAATTATTACATTAATCTAACTACACCGTTGAAGATGTCATTTGTTGTTAATAATTCATAACTATTTTAGAGTAACTGTTATAATATCAGAGGTGAAACTGGAAGAATGTTATTCAACCTAAAGTAGTCTACTATTACTTTGATACATTTTTACTTAAGTAAAAGTAAAAATACCAGTCTAAAAAATCTACTCAAGTAAAAAGTAGTTAATTTAAAACATGAGTAAAAGTTGCTGAGTAACTTGTTTAACAGCGGGGGTGGGGTGGGGGACTCCCCCATGTGGGGTTGTAACGTATGAGAGTTTCACAGTATGAGAACCGTTTCAGAAAATATCACGGTTTATGGTATTAAACAATTGTTAAATATATAAACTGCATTATTAAATTACGGTTATTATTCTCATCAGTTAAAATGACAGTTAAATAAATTAAACATTTGTTCAATAAAACATAATACCAACTAACTTCAATAATTGATTATGATTGACATCTTATTTTTTATCATGAATAACTTGAATAACATGAATAATTAAATTGTATTACAATTTTTTCAATGATTTAATAGAAATATATTATCCAAAACAGTGGTAATCAAATAAAAGTTTAGCAAATGTTTTAATCCTTTTATTTTTTGGCAAAGTGCTACAAAACAGATTTAGTCAATTAAACCATGGACAAACAATA